CGCCCAGGTCCGGGACTCGAACCACAGTCGACCATATGGGGTCCAGCACCCTTAACCATCATGCCACCTGCCGGCCCCAGGTTTTTTTTTTTAATTCCTCTTAAGAATATCCACGAAGGAAGACCTGCAGATGGCGTAATGGTTATGTTGCTGGACTCCCATGTAGCCGACCGCAGTTCAAGTCCCGGATCTGGCAGCTTAAAACTCATGCAGGTACATGTGCATGCATGCCCCAAATCCTTAAAGAACAGAGAAGGGATTATGGTGTGGCCATCCCCTCTGGGGGGTGATTTCTTGCCTTCTGTCTCTCTGGTGAGTACAAGTATTCTATAGCAAAAATCTCTCAGAAAAAAAAAAAAATCCATTAAGGGTTGGCTCTATAGTGCAGTGGTCTGCTCAAGAGAAGCTGGGTCTCATGTGGTGACCATGGTTTGAATTTCAGGCTCGGCCAGCATGAAACAATTTGGATATACATGTGAGTGTTCAGGATCTGTTAGGCGAGAGGAGAAAGAGGATCCTGTGAGGGCACTCCTCTCTCTTGTGCATGTGTGCACATGCTTTCATGAATAATGAAAAACGGTGCTTATAAAAAACATGACATGATTTTATTTACCTGCAACCCTTGATTAGCTTTCTTTTTTATTGTTGAAGAGCCCTTCACAGAGAGGTTGAACACTTCCATTCTAAACCACTGCAGCCATGATTTACACTTCTTCTCTTCCTAGCTTCACACAATGTCATGCATGGAGCACTTAATGAATGAATGTGGGTGCCCTCAGTTATACTCATGAGTCTGTAGCTATAATCAGCTACAGGCCTAAATTCATTAGTTTTTTTCATCAATCAATGAGTTTAATAAGGACTCAAAGTTGGAAATAAGGATGTGGCTTACCTAAAAAGTTTTGAACAAGGCTGATGGTTATGAATTTCTGTAATTAGAAAGAGGAAATACATTTCAGTTAAATATGTAAGATAACGGCTCTCTAAAACAGAATTTTTAGACAAAAATCTCAGACAACTAAAAGCCAGCATTTCTGTCCCAAACAGATGCTGCTATATGTACCCATGAAGGCAGTACAACTGCTTTACATTTACACTAAGGGACATATTCTCAGAACAAAGTAGAGCAGAGAGTGAAAATCCTGTTTCCATTTGCCAGGTGTGAGGATCATACATCTGAAAGCTGTTATTCAGGAGCACGCAGTTAATTGTGGGCCTTATTTAATCTCACCTATTTAAACAAAGCATCATAGGAAAAAGTAACCACAGACTGGAAGCATTTAATCAAGTTGGATAAAAGCTTTGAGGACAGCATGGAGAGAGAAGGTCCGTAACCACTCTACCATCAATAACCATCTAACAACTTGTGACAGCTTGGGCCAGGTGTTTTGAAGGGGCAGGAACTCTGGAAGTCTATTAACCTTGCAAAGATGGTTAGTAGTGGAGGAAACAGTCATTCATAAGGCAGGTACTAACAGCTTTTGAAAAGTTGCTATGATTAAGCAAAGTGAACAATTTCTTCAAGCTCATCAGGAGGCTTGGAGTCTGGGTTTTATGAGACTAACTGACCATTCAGATCTATTAATCTCATTCTCCTAGAGAGTGGCTCATCACCTGCTATTTGAAAAGTCACAGCCTCGGAATTCCAGGCTGTAATTTTAACTCAATTATAATGAAACAACATCCCCGAGAGACATGGGACAATGCCCATTCACTTCTGTACTTATGTTAAAGCTGCCAAAACACACAAATGAATGCAATACCTCCACAGGAAAGAGAAGTTCATTCACCTAGCTATGGCTGTCGATAGTTATGCAAAAAAAAACAAAACAAAACTGGGATGGAACAAGGCAACAAATGTGAAATCATATGTCATAACAAAATATACAGCCCACTGAAAGAATACAAAATTGACTGGGTTAGGAAAAGTCACGACATACTTTTTCTACATTTTCTATGCAAAAATACGTTATGGCAGTGTGCTATCAGTTAACTGCAGCTGCCAATTTAATCTTCATCTACTAGATGAATTTTGAAAACCTAGGTATAAATAATAAATAACTGCACAGCTATCCATGAAAATTTTAAATAGTTAAGCAAAGCAAAAACAAGCAAGAAAACACTTGGGGGAATCCTGGTTGTACCCTGTCCACGCACCAAGTCCTGACTTAGCAAGTCATTGTGGTGAATGGGTTGTACAGCTTTGATCCTTCAGGAGACAGTTCAGTCTCTTGTTTTCCCCCAGTCCTAACCTCACCTCAATCCTCATCCTTGCCCCTTACTCCATGTACTAGAAGGCTCTCAGAACAAGACGGACATCAGTGATCTGGTCCCATCATGACCTAAACTGCCAGGAGTATTTCAAACCACAAGCCACCTATCGTCTCACATTCTGTAGGTCTGCCACACAGAAGCAGGCCAGATTCTCCGAATGTTTTACGCACTCCTTGCTCTGTACCGCCCACTGGCCCTCAGCTCACCTTCTCCTGACATCTTTACTCATTTCCCCACTTGCAGTTTTTCTCTCAACTTCGACACTTACGGGATTTTCTTTGTTCCTTTATTACAGCATTCATCTCACACTGCCCGTGTGCCTGTATACCTGTCTTATCTGCCCCATAGTTCAGGACGGCAGGGATTTATCTGGGAATTCCTCTCACTAACACATGGCTCACACATGAAAGTTCTTCAATAAATGTTTGCTACATAAATAAACAGGCTGTCCCTTGCTTTGTTCTGAGTATCAGGATGTGCTGTTTGATGGATCTGCCCAACGTGTACCTGAAAAGACTATGATTCCTATTATCAAAAGGAGATTGATCCAAAGAGAGTGGGCACATCTATAAACACTCCTTTGTCTGCGCCAGCAACCTCTTCCAAAGTGACTGTCTGGCTTATTCCTCAGAAGGCTGCATAGGTTTAGCAAATATCTCGTAAAACTCGTAAAAAAAATTGTGAGTATCTTTGCCAGATCCCTCTGAAAAGGATCAGCACCACACATCTATTCATTACAGTACGAGGTGACATGGGCAATGGGGAGAGTATGACTTGCACACTTGAGCTTTACTGCGATTTTGACGAGACTGTCAAGTGGTGACATAGCACTTTCGTTAAAGTCTGACAAATTGATGAGTAAGAAATAGCTATCCACTCTATGTTCACATCAACCTAAAAAAAAAAATCTCAAGTTTGGGACAGCCCTGTAGCCTAGTGGTTAAGGGCGCAAGGTCCCACATGGCCAACCACACAGTTCAAATCTCAGACCTGGTAGCTTGAAAAATATGCTGAACAGGATGGAGATAGGGAGAAGGGATTGCAGCATGACCACACCTCAGTGGGAGATGCTTTTTCTCTCTCCCTCTCTGTCTCTCTCTAGTGAACACACATGTTCTCTGGCAATTAAAAAAGAAAAAAAAATATCATGTTGCTTTTTTAACGCAAATAATTTCAGGGTTTTCCCCCCTATGCACTCTCCTAACCCTTAGATTAAAGTCACTTAAGAGCCAAAGAACAAAATAAACAGCAAGTATACATACAGAAAAGATATTTCTAAAGTCAGTGTTAAACTTACCAATTACTTGTAGAAATTCTGTATTGCTTATTTGTGAGTCACTGATGCTAAAGGTTTCCTCTTGTCTTACTTCTCCCAGCAAAAATCCTTCCTAAAAGTAAGTGACAAGAGAAAATAATTGCAGATTACAAACAGAAGTTTTACTGAAATTAAGAATAATTGAGGGCATACAATTTTATAATAGTTTTAACAATATTCTAAGTAAGCTTGCCATGTAAACTACTATTTTATAAACCTATGAACAGATTAAAGCAATCTGAGGTATATCTACTAAAGTGAGTTGTTCAAAAAGGTGATTCCAGGCCCAGCTGGCGGTGCTGCGGTTAAGGCAGCTGGATCCCATATGTCTAGCTGCATGGTTCAAGTCTCGGCCCCAGCAACCTGAGAAACATGACAGGTGTGTCTGCATACATCCCCAAAATCTCAACAGGAGAACGGAGAAGGGATTGTGTTGTGACTGTTCCCCATGGGGGGTGCTTTACTTTCCCCCTTTCTGTCTCTCTCCTGAGAGCACATGTGCCCTGTGGCAAATTTTCTTTTCAAAAAAAGAGGATTCCATGATAAAATATTATTGGAATCTCTTCAATTTCTCTGTCATAAAAAGTAAAAAATAAGAGTGAATTCATGACCTAAATCCTACTAAGTTACATAACCAATGTCAATAAAAGCTCTGAAAGTAGAAGTATTCCAAGGTGGTTTTCTTGACAAACCATACTATTTATTTCATAGTTTTAAAAGCAGTACTAATGATAAAGGATACGGAAATTTACAGCGGCCTCGCATGGTGACAACTGGAGTACGATGCTGGAAGCCACATGGCTGACTGTGGTTTTGGATCCCTGGATCAGCCTGAAAACACGTTGAGCACATGCTCACATGTCCAGGATCCTAATGAACTGGAGAGCTGAGGAAGGGGGAATCATGGCATGGCAAAACCTTTCGAGGGTACTTCCCTATCTCTAAAAACTTTCCCTCTTCCCCACTCACTCATGCACTTCTATGATGAAAAAAAATATATCTTAGGAAAAAAGCTAATACAGAGCTAGTCAGTGGTGGTTGAAGCATCTGAATTCCACATGGTCCATAGTGGAGTTCAAGCTCTGGACCTGGCAGCTTGAAAAAAAAAAAAAAAAAAAAAGCATAGGGCGTGTATGGGTACACGCACAGAATCCCGAGAAGACAATGGAAAATGGATCGTAGTGTGGCCGTCCTCCTGAAGGGTGCTTTCTCTCTCTCTCTCTCTCTGTTAGGACCCATGCCCTATAGCAAATTTAAAACAAAGGAAAAAAAAAAACTTAACACAGCAGCAACTAAGTGTTCCTGTATAGCTGGCATAGAAAGGAATGTCAGCAAATAAAGTAAACTTCATATCTTTCAACTCAAAGTTTTTCTTTAATAAATGCAGAAATCAATTTATTTCTATTTCTGGGCCAGCCAGTAGCGTGATGGTTAAGGTGGCTGGAGTCTACTTGGCCGACTATATGGTTTAAGTCTCAGGAAATGGTAGCTTAAAAAACACCCCAGGCACGTGTGCATACATATCCAAAACTTCAGGAGGAGAATGGAGGTGAAGGGATCACCCCCAAAGGGGTGATTTCTCACTTTCCCTTGGTTTCTGTCTCTGAGCACACATCCCTATGGCAAAACCCTTAAAAAAAAACCAAAACTTCCCTACAGAGAGGAATCCCCAGGTAAATACATGGCTTACTCCTTCCATTCATTCAGATCTTTCTCAAATGCCATTTTATCAGAGAGGCCTTGCCTGATTAACGTAATGGAAATAGCAACTGCCAGGCACTCTGTCCCCTTTAACATGTATCTTTTTCTTCTTAGTCTTTTCACTAGCTGCTAAGGAAATGCCTATCCTCCACTAAACATAAGATCCAAGAAATCAGTGATTCATGATTTTATCTCAGCGCCTAGCAGAGCAACCTGCACATAGTAGGTGCTTAACAAACACTGGTTAAATAAATTTGTTCAAACGATGTCTTTATACTATATATCCTTTTATTCTAGATTGACCGTTCAAATCAATGAAAGAAGTTTTGTAGTTTAAAATTATTTCCAGTTACAACCAACTTTGTGGCACAGTGGTTAAGTGCTGAATATTGGGAGCCAGATCCCACATGACCAACCACAATTGAAATCCCAGCCTCAGAGCAACTGGGAAATATACACTGGGTGCACGAGCATATGCGCTCAAAATTCTGACAGCAAGGAGAAATGGAGCAAAAAGGATTGTGGCGTGATCACAGCTGCTGGGAGATGTCACTCTCTTTGGTGAGCACATATGCCCCCTAGCACTTAAAAAATTTTTTTTCCAGTTAGGAGTGAGAATCTGTGGTAGTGAAATGATAGATGCTTTATGGCCTGACATCTGTATTTGATTTAGGGAGGAAGGCTATTCTGATATTCCAAATGATTATTTATAGGGCATTTCTCAAACTTGAGTTTCATACAAATTCTCTGTAAAAATGTTTTTCTCAGACCCAAAGGCGTGTCCATGGCTACTAGTTTGAGAAACCTAAGTGTTTATTCCTACGAAAGTCTCTCAATTATGAGTTTTCACTACAAAAGAAGCTTTTTGAAACAGAAAAAAAAAAAATCAAACTGAAAAAACAATTTAATATTCCCAGAAAGCCTAGATCTTAAGGACATAGCTACAGATTTCTAATGTTCTACAAGTCTAGGGTTACCAGACTTAGCAAAAATGATACAGTTATATTTGGATTTCAGATCAACAACTAATAACTTTTATGTATACTCAAAATTATTTACTATTTACCTGACATTCAAATTTAATAGGGTGCCCTGTATTTTCTCTGGCAAGCCTACAATAGTCGTCGCTTTGAGAAAGTACATGAAATTCAAACTTCAGTGCCTATAAATCAAGTTTTACTGGAACACAGTCATCCTCATTCATTCATTATCTACGGTTGTTTTACCCTACAACAGAAGTTTAGTAGTCGCGATAGAGACCATATGGTCTCAGTTTTAAATTAATTATCTTGCCTGGACAAAACAAAGTATGTACTACAAAAATAAATTATTCATTCTATAACTTTAAAATTAAATTACTTTTAAGTCTTCAACATCTGTATTTGTGACAAGATTAATAATATAAACAAAGTGTAGTCAGATAGAATGCAATCACAGAGGTCGGCAGGTGGCATGACTGTTAAGCCGCTGGACTCCCACATGGCCAGCTGTGGTTTGAGTCCTGAACCTGGCAGCTTGGTTTCTCACTTTCTGTCTCTCTGGTCAAAAAAACATTTTTTTTGGAGATATTTTTGCTATAGGGCATGTGTGTTCGCCAGAAAGACAGAAAGCGGGAAATCACCCCCCAGGGCGGATGGTCATGCCACAATTCCTTTTCTTCCATTCTCCTCTCAGGATCTTGGGCATGCACATACATGCAGCCAATGTGAGTTTAAGCTGCTGGGTCTGGGACTTGAACCACGATCGACTACATGGGAGTCCAGCGGCGATGTAGCCATTATGCTATCTGCTGGTCCCTCTCTGGTCAAATTTTTAAAAAATAAGAAATAGGGTGTGGTGGCGCCCACACTATGGGGAAAAAAAAGGAATAAAATTAAATAAAATAATAAGAAAAACCACAATTACAAACTATTGGCATTGGTGAAAATTTCCATGAAGTCTAGCAACTTTCCTGGCACATTACGGGGATATCTCTTGAATTAGTAACAATCTAAGTAACATGATCATCTCACTGTTGTTTAAAGAAAAACAGTTTTTCAATAGCTGGTTACTTTTACTATAACCTTGACAACTATATTACTAGGCAGTCTAAGAAATCGAAGGGCAAAGATGCATCACTGAACCCGTAATAATCCAGGAACTATAGCAGTATCACGAGCCACCTACATGTGGACCTGCATTACATTATTAGATAGCTGGCTATAAATTACCAAAGGCAGTAGTGACCAAAGCTGCCTCTCGAAAAACACATGCTGTGTACTAGTCTATCATCAATTTCTACCATCAACATTGAAGAGGTGAAAAGTACGATAATTCAATTTCATTCCATTTACTAATGGGATCACTTCTCTGTGAAATTAAGTTTTTATTAGTGGAACCCAAGATCGCTGACATTAAATCCACTTTCTCTTTCTGCAGTGTATCATTCTGCTTTGTAATGACAACCATAAAAGCAAAACAAAACAACCCAAAATCCACACATTTATTTAATGAATTTGAATCATTCACCATTAATCCTCCCATTTGGTAGGCCAACTAAATACCTCCTTCAAGACAAAAAAGATCTTATTTCATAAAGAGCTTACAACCAGAAGCCCCTGACATTAAAAGACAATTCGTTAAAGACACTGAAACAGGCTCTGCTCCCCCTGGGGGCTCCCATGCCTTTGCATTTCCGATCACTCACACGTAGGGCCTGTCACTTCCCAATTTCACTGCCACTTGTCCTGTGGTCTTAAAAACATTCGCCAACGAATTTAAACATGCAAGTTCAAGAAAATGCAAACAGGTCCTGCACCTACCACTCCTGTTTACCTTCTCCATTTTTCCAGTGGGGCCAAGAAAACACACAACCGTGTCCAACAAGTATTAATAGTGACAGCCACGGTTTCACTCCTTGCACCCCACGACAACCTGTGAGACCAGCGGGCAGGGCCGAGTGCCTCGGGTCCTAGGCTAAAAGTCCAGCGTTTTGACTCCTTCCCGACCCCCTGGGCTCCCCTCTGGAGTCCGGAAGCCTAACTCTCGGGGAAGGGAAGGCTCTCGGGTTTCCTCCAAGTGACTCCTGACACTGTGGGAGGCCGGGCTGGACAGCTTTACTGGACGGGAGACGCTGTCCCAGGACAGCCGGGCGGCAGAGCGCGCCGAGCTCGGGGGTCCACCAGGCGGGCGAAGGAGCCCCGGGCGGCAGGGGCTGGCCGGGGGCGGGAGCCGCCCGGGGCACCAGTTCCTCGGGCGGCCCCTGAGCCCGGGGGGGCGAGCCGCGAGCGCTCGGGGGTTGACTGCGGGCGCCCGGCTGGG